TAACCACAAGCGGTTCAGTTTGACCAACAGATCTACTGTAATTTCCTTCCTCTGATTGATCGTCATTTAATTCAGGTTGTTCAACAGGTATTAACGGTTCACTCCTGTTGTTCATAAATATTTGCCTCATTTCTTCCCTTTGTTCAGCCATCATTGTCTGAATCATGGCTTGTACTCCAGCCATTGTGATCGGTTCTGGTGCAGCTTCTGCTATAGGCACCTGTTCCACCACTTGGGGTTGAGGTTGCTGATTTCTGTTTACATTTCCAGCTCCACTTCGAGTTCTTGCCATTATAATCTATACACCAAATAAGGCGAATTTAGTTCTTTATTCACGATGATTATTTAAAATCTCCTTATCACTTAATGTACATGCGTAGTCGTAGTCGTACGCTTAGAATCCTAAACACATAAGGTTTCCAGATCCGGTCGGCAACAGACGATAGATCCGAACAAATAACATCATATATGGCAAACATATAGCACTTAGCACATAAAAGTATTTTAGGCATCTTTCCTAAAATATACTAGTGCTCGTGTCTAAAATATGGTAGACACTCATATCACGATCATCACTTAGCATTCTAAGTTTAAGTCTAGAAATCCTACAAATTCCTAGTTCGCTTAAACTAATGCTCTAATACCAACTGTGACATCCCTAAATTTCTTGGCCAGAAAAGACCGATTTAGTTTATACTTTTAAAATAAAATCAGAGTAATCTTCCAAAAGGTGTTGCAGAATTTGTTCCCAAAACAAAATATAATAAAAATTTATCAAAACATTTCTTAAAGAAATGTATTTTCATTATATAACAAAACCTCGGGATGTCATGTTCCGATACAGACCAAAAGCATAAACAGTACATCATAAGCCTTACAATAGTTATTTACAACTACTGGCCTATAATCCAAAAATCCCTCTTCATCATCCAAACTATGCTCTGGGTCCACTACCTGTAATATAAAAAACTGAGTGGGTCAGGCTTGGGAGCTTGGTGAGCATATAGGGTTTTCAACCCACAAATAATAAATTTATTAATTTCATTAACCAACAATAAATTTATTAATTTCATCAACCAACAATAACCCTGATTACCCGTTCCCGTTATCCTTAATTTACGTCCCTAAACACCTACCACAAGGGACTTAGCCTAAGGATCATTATCGGGATGGACACTACTGCTAAGGGGATTCCTCAACCATACATGTCCTTAAGGCAACCATGATGGGGATGGAGTATACCAACGAACATATAGTTCACCAACACCTACAGGTTGCGAGCCTGCTAGCGTTCCACTGGACTGTCTAGAAAGGTCCATAGTCGTCATCTATACTCCGCTAGATGACAACAACAACAACAACAACAACAACAACAACAATATCGAGGCCTCTCATCATTTTAACACACATCAACTATTTCATCTACCCATGTTTTACCCAACATATTTGTAGATAAAAATACATATACAGTTTAAAACTTGTATAAAACATCTACTCAACACCCATCTCAAAATAAACAAACAATATAATTACACATAGCACGTATTTTATAGAAAATACTTCATATCTATGTGTAAGATGAAAATGACTACACACTCACTTGATTTAACGATAACCGGGCAGCACTTCGTTTCTTAAAACGATCGTTTCCGATGAAACCGGGAGCTTTAATGAAAATCGGGCCTTGCGAGGGTTAAGCTTCAAACCGAAAAGATAAATTTCTCGGGGTATTCAGACACTTCGGGATGTTCTTCGGGTGTTAGGTATGATCCCGGGGCTTCGGGGGGTTGTAAGGAAGTTTAGGGAGGTGAAAGAAGTGAAAAATGATGAAAAATGGTGTAGGAACCGGGAGGGTTCGCACCTCCTTTTATACCCTGCGAGGGTTCAGATCCGAGGGAAGAAGAAGCCACGCGGCAGCTTCGCAGGCGAGGGGGAGGGCCAGGCGTCGACTTCGGATGCAAGACACGCGTCTCCTTCGGACGCCTCCACGGACGCAACACGCGTCGGATCGTGATTGGGCCGCGCATTCGGAAGAATCAGTAGGCGGACACGGGGCAGACTCGCATGCGAGGGCGACGTGGCCGAATCCTGACCTTGTGCATGCGAAAATTCTCGGTTTTTGTGCCCCGATTTTCAAAAAATTCATAACTTTTGCATACGAGCTCCGTTTTCGACGTTCTTTATATGCACACGTAGGTGAGATTATACTCTACGACTTTCGTTTAGACTCCGTCGGCTAATTTTGATATTATTTTTAATATTATTATTTTTAACAGACGGGGACAAGAAAATCCGTTAAAAATTCATAACTTCTTCATCCAACGTCCGTTTTCGTCTGTCTTTTTACCGTTGTACTACTATTGACGAGATCTTCGATCCTCGTTTAGGTTGTGTCGGCTAAAAATCACTCGATCTAAAAATTCGAGTTTTTAGCTGTCTACTGCGAAACTGAAACTTAGAAAAATCATAACTTCCTCATACACAGTCAGATTTGGGAATTCTTTTTATGCACACTCTCGGTTTAACGAACACTACGACTTTCGTTTAGATCGCTAAGGCTAAAAAGCACTTTATCGTAAATTCACTTTTTACGTCACACAGCGTCATGCCGGTTCTGTCACGAAACTTCGACATGTCATAACTTCTTCGTTATAACTCGGATTTCGGTATTCTTTATATCTCCAGAATCCTTATTTCAACCACTACAACGTTCTTCATAGATATCAAGTTTGTCTAACATTTATTTTCGACGCTTATTTTTATCCTTAATTCATTAAATTATAATAATTAAGCATAAAACACATAATAATCAATAATACATCTTATTATTTCAAAACAAGTTACAAAGGTTGGCCTAGACTATTACATCATCATTAGTGCCTAACCTAGAAACACGGGCGTTAGAGGTAAACCCACAAATAATAAGAGTAATGATCTAAGAATATAACATAGTACTTTAGCCCGCTTATGCTAGAAAGTGGGGATGTCTATATATCCAAATGAATTAAGTCAAAAAGTGCATGCATAATAGAATTTGCAGTGTGAAAACGGAAGACAAGTATGGTTGCCAAGTTGACAAGCATTACAAATCAAATTCCACAAACATTTATTATATTGAATAGGATTATTTGAAAACAAAAGACGAAACACTTCGTTCTTGGGATATGCGAGCTGTTGGTTCCATGTCGTGGGAAATTTTAGACATAAATGCTTACGAAGTGGACTTGGAAGGGCAAACTGGATAAAGATCCTTGGTGTTGTCAGATCAAAAAAGAATTTGTTTGGTCCCAAGGTCTTTCACAAAAAACCCAGATTTGTCAAATTCTACGATGCAATTAATTTTCATAAGTACATTAAAGAATGACCACACAATTTTTTGTTATGTTTGGAATGAAAAGGATATTGTTAATGCGAAGTGTGCGGTGAGGAGTTGGAAAAATACTATAACCGATGTTGGTTACGAGAATATATTTACCGCCTCCAACAACTATTTGAATGAATCCTGTATTTTATAACTCTTTAGTTTGATTAGTATCTCAAGATCATTCGAGGACAAATTGTTTGTACCATTATAAAATCTATCAAATTAATTTTCTTTTAAACAATCCGTTCATATGTTATTTTCAATATCAATGTTATAATAACAGCTCACTTTACATATATGAAAACAAATGTGACATGGCTTGTACATATAAGTAAACGAATGAACTTTGGTTATAGTTTAATAACAAGACAAATTAGTTAAACCTAAGATTATTTTATATAATAAAAGGCAGTCTCCTTATAAATAGTATAGTTTTGTATTTTTTTTTTATAATTGACCATAAAAGTTTCTTATTTCCTATTTTAGCCACAAATCTATTTTCTTATTTCATATTTTATCCACAAAACTTTTTTATGTTGGCAGATTTGATCCTTATATTTTTGTATACTGACAATTTCCTCCCCTTACTTTATAGAATGACACTTTCCACCCCTTTAATGTATTAAATGTCACTTTTACCCTATCAAATTTAATCAACAACAATTTCCACTCCTTCAACTCTGTATATCACCATGTTTACAGGTCTGTAAACTTTTGTATGTCGACAAGTTTGGTCTCCCTAGAAACCATGCACACAAAATGATAAAATGATGATTAGTAGTAATTTCTTTTTGTGCGATTATAACCTAGTAAACAAAACCTTGTATGTGTCAACACGAACAATGACATAACTAGGGTCAAAGTAAAGCGGTAACACACACACACACACACACACACATATATATATATATATATATATATATATATATATATATATATATATATTTGCATAATATACAATAAGGAAAAAATCGCAATTTCATTAGACATAAAAAAATGACAAAATATACTATACAATATGTATTACATTTTAAACTTCACATCTTTGCTCTTTCATTTTTTGAAAGCGAGTAATTATATTTTTAGTTTTAATATTCTCAAGTCATCGATTAAACAAACATAATTGTTAATTTCTAATTTGAAGGGTTACACGGGCTACCTCGTACATCCATATGAATCCACCAATGATAACGAAACGAGAAAAATACAATTTCTAGTTATTAAGATAAATTAAACGTGACAAGTGAGCCAAAATTCTTCAAAGCGTAATAGATACATAAAATTTCTTAAGTGCATTTATTAAACAAACGTATATTTTATTTAATAATATCATTTTTGTAATTAAATTTAACAACCTATCATCTATAAAAATAAAAATTTAAAAACACAAGTATTTACGCATTAATCCGAATTCCAAACCTATCATATTTTTGGCACATGCTAGAAATTATTATTTTTAATCAAACAAAATTATTATCGGTTACTCAATCCGCTCCGACCCGTTTTTTTTTTTTCACATCTAACTACAAGCTTAGGCCTTAGAGGACTGATTTGCATAGCGGTTTTAGCCGAAGGGACTCAAAGTGAAATTTCGTAATAAAACCCCCGAAAAAGGTAAAATGCAATGAAGAAAATAATAATTTAAAACCCTAATGGATTGTAAAAAACGCAAGGATTTGCATCCAGTCACAGATCTTGTCTTCATCGCGATTCAAATCTACATGATTACCCTTGTTCTCCAGTCTAATTAATTCTGGTTCTCTATCTCTCTCCTCATCGAATTTATCGGAAATTTGGAAATTCTATTAGGACGATCGAGCAGTTCTTGAAAGTATATTGTTTTTTCTGGTTTGCAGATTGAAATGGCGGCAATTGCAGTTAATCAGTTTGCTGAGTGCGTTACTTGCCATGCTTGGAGCCCCGATCACTCAAGTAAGATACAGATACATATCTTCATAATGAATTTGTCTATGTTTGGATGTAACCTTGATTATAGGTTAATAAACTTGAGATGCTCCCTTTTTGTTCCACGATTAGAGATATGTTCATAATGATGAAAGAAAATTTTGGGATGTTACAGATTTCAGGACTGATGTATTTCTTTTGATTTTAGTAGGTATAGCTATTGCCATTATGAATTGTGCTCCCTAAGATACTATATAATGTTTTTGACTTATATGCTCAACCTCAATACTTTTCAAATGACGAATTCATATAAATTATATTACAAAGTTAACATCGCCATATTTTTTGTTTATAGTACATGTTCTAAAGTTTAATGTGATTCGTGATTTTTATGGATACGTTTTTGCAATCCATATAAATATTGGAGATCTGGTTGGTATACTACCTAGAATTACCATGGAGATGAAGGATTGGGAGCATCTGGACCTTAGTAAGATTGATCCAAATGTCTGACCAAACTTCATCTTTTCAACTCATACAAAACAGTATTTGAAAGTGTTATCAACTATTCTTATGAAAATAGTAGCCCACTTCTTTAGGCGTTTGAGGCTTGCTATAATGCATATTTTCTCTTTTTCTATTGTATGTCCTTTTACTGTATTCATGGACCTTTTGTTTCTGCTAAGTTTACTATGCTCTTCTATGATAACATAGCCATTTTGCAACATGTTTTTCTTTCTCTCTCTACTCGCACCTATTATGCAGGATTGTAATAGTGACTGTGTTTCCTGCAGTGATAGCTCTTTGTCCAAACAATCATGAGGTTCACATCTATAAATCAGTTGAAGAAAATTGGGAAAGGATTCATGTTCTGCAAAAGGTACTTGACATTTTCTTAGATCACTTCCTTTCTATATACTTGTTTATGCTTTAGGCTGTCTAACTTCTCACACCTATCTTTACTTTCTTTTGTATTCTTTTGCATTATATTTCTCAAACTTTAGCTTCTACCTTGGTGCAGCATGACCAAATTGTTGCAGGAATAGATTGGAGTAAATCATCAAACAGAATAGTTACTGTGTCTCATGATCGCAATTCGTGAGTGAATGTTTTAAATATTTATTCGGTTCAAGTTTGGGATCATATTTGCATCTCTCTCTCATTTGTGAGTGAATGTTCTTATTGTTTTTTAGATTCTATGTTATGAAAGCTTCTCAATTTTGCAGGTATGTCTGGAACCAAGAAGGATCTGTATGGGTACCAACTCTTGTTATTCTCAGGCTCAACCGAGCTGCACTCTGTGTGCAATGGAGCCCTAAAGGTATTGTAATATGTCCTTATTTATAGAGCACTTCTCTACTTGAGAATATGTTTGTGTAAATCCCATTTATGTCATTATACTTAGTCACTAATTATTGTTTACAGGAAACAAATTTGCTGTGGGAAGTGGAGCTAAAACTGTTTGTATATGTTACTATGAGCAGGAGAATAACTGGTAATAATAGCTTCCTCTTTAGACTTTTAACTTGTTCAGTTACTTACAAACCATATACAATATTTATTTCCTCAGGTGGGTTAGTAAGCTAATCAGGAAAAAGCATGATTCTTCTGTGACCAGTGTTGCTTGGCATCCTAATAATGTTCGTATTTTCTCTTATTTCACATAACTTTAAAATTTTGGCACTTTTCCGCTTTAAATTTGATATTAAACTTTCTTTTTGTACATCCATTTTTCTTCTCACCATTGCATCTCCAGGATTTTTTAACCATATATATTAGAGAATGAATATGTGTGTATAAATATAGAGAGAGATATATATGTATAAGTTTCTTTTGTTGTTTCTTAGGCAATTATATGTTAGCTAACACTATTATTTTGACACATGATTGGCTATTTTTGACAGGTTCTCATTGCTACAACATCTACTGATGGAAAATGTAGAGTGTTCTCGACTTTTATTAAAGGGGTTGATGCAGGGTATTAGGCTTCATCTTTTCCTACATTTCATATCTTTACTTTTACCACAACATTTTCACTGACATATGTGATTATGGTTGTCAGTAAACCAAGGAAATCAGGAAGTGGCTCCTCATTAGATGCAAAATTTGGAGAGGTTTGGCTTTATTATATTTCCGAATTAACCTAGAATTTGTGCTATAAAATCATGGAGAAAAAAAAAATCAAGTGAATGACCCTAATTAACCTAGAGGAATACATACATATATGCTAGCACATAACCCTAATTGTATTTGCCTTGTATTCATGCACTTTCTGATTGATACTTATAACTTATGTCAATTAAAATGCTATTCTCTTTTTCCTTGAGAGAATTAAGTTTATTTCTTGGTATGTTTGAGCAGCAAATTGTTCAGCTTGATCTCTCATTTTGCTGGGCCTTTGGTGTCAAATGGTCCCCAAGTGGAAATAGCTTAGCTTATGTAGGTGAGGGAATTTACTCTATTGCTTCATATTCAAGTTAAGTTGCTATAAGTTTGTAATTGGTTTGTGGATTCTGATGGAATCCAGCGGAATTGGAATTAGAGATTCCATTCCATGGCATGTTTAGTTGCCAAATGACGGGATTCAATTCCATCGGGATCTTTCAAATTCCATATTTAATGGATTTCACCATTCCTAGGGGTGGATGGAAGGAATTTAATTTAATTCTTTCTTTTTCAATAAAACACTCTCATATATATATATATATATATATATATATATATATATATATATATATATATATATATATATATATATGTTCATTATGTTCCATGTTTTTGTTGGCATAACAAACAGGTCATAATTCAATGATATACTTTGTTGACCATATCGGACCTTCCCCTTCTGCTCAAAGTGTAGTATTGCGTGATTTGCCTCTTCGTGATGTGGGTCAGCATCCTCTCTATCATTCTGCATTGTTTTTGCACTTCTTCTTATTCAATTGTTGAGAAACAACATTTTATTATTTCAGGTTATGTTTGTCTCTGAGAAACTTGTAATTGGTGTGGGCTATGACTGCAATCCCATGGTTTTTGCAGCAGATGGAATAGGATCATGGTACAATTCTGAGATTCAATTTTTCAGGGTTAATAGCAACCTACTTTCATTGAATTGCACCAAAAGTATATTTCATTTTTTTTCTTTGATGTATGTTTTTAGGAGCTTTGTGAGGTTCCTTGATGAAAAAAAGTCAACATCTTCTAGTGCAAGATATGGGTCACAGGTTCTTACACTCATGACTGTCTTATTCAATAGACATGCTTTAGTCAAATTTGGACTCTAATAATAGGGCCCCATGAATTGAAAAGTTTAATTTGAATGCCTTATTGAATGTTCTCTAAGCCCCTTATTAACATTGTTTCTGATTTGCAGCTGACAGAAGCATTTGGGAAGTTCTATGGAAGCTCAAAACAGGGAACCAGTAATGATAAGTCTCGTGGTGGTGTTCATGACAACTGCATCAAGTATATATCACCTTTCTTACTTTTTCTAATTTAATTTATCCTTCTTGATTTTAATGTTGTGACTTGTGAAGGCATAATCACATTTTTCACTCTTATTTAATTAATTTTCCTATCTGACATTTGTAGTTGCATTGTGCCTTTCAAGACATCATCAGGGAGTAACAAAATGACAAGCTTTAGCACTTCAGGTAAACATAATTTCCCTCCTTTTAAACCAATAACCATTTTGTACTTTCACTGATTTCTTTTTTAGAGCATCTTACTTTCATTTCTTCCTATTACAACATTAAATATCTTCCCAATTATAGCAATGTCATCCAAATAGAAATCTAATTACACTGCTGAGATAAGAAAAAAAAAAAAAAAAATTAGAACCGAAATTACCAATTTCTTATTTTGTGCATTTACCCTGAAATACCAATTTACTTTTTATCAAAATTGGGTAAACTTTTATTTTTAGTCAGAAACTGATACACGGCTGCATAAATTGGTAAGAAAGCCACAACATTACATATTTTTATAAAAATTTGTTGCTTTGTTGCATAAATAAGTACATAGCACAGTTCAGTTATCAGTTTGATGATATTGTTTTTTGATTAATATTACAGGACTAGATGGAAAAGTTGTGATATGGGATTTGAAAAATCAGGAAGACTTACTCGAGTATATGTAATGTAAATCTTATGAATAAAGGTTGTACCCCATGCATGGATGATTATACTTTTCAAGCTTCTATCTGGAGTGTGTCTTTTTAACATCCGTATTTTTGTTTTTCACATGGTGTTTCTTATATACTAGAACAATATAAATCAAGTAACGATGCTATGCTATGCTATGACTTTGTTTCCTTGTTAGTATCAATTGAATATCATTCTGTATTCCTCCTTTTATTTTATTTTATTTTATTTTTGTTGAGATCTATGTAACTTGTTCACACAACTTTAGACCTGACGTCTCTACGTAGCACCTAATAGGCAAGGGTACTTTGGGGTTTTTGACCAAGGTTAATGAAAATCGAACTTGGAAATGGAAATTAGTCGTTTGAGGCACTTTCGTATTAGTTTGATCCTTCATAGAAAGATATCATGGAATTTACTTGGGAACAATCCAATTCAAGGCTTCTGAGAACATGAAATCCAATGACTAAATTTGTGTTTTGACCTGACTTGTTATAACATCTTAAGACACTTATAGCAATAGATTTATTCAAATGGACAAACAGCACGAATACAAATGACAATCACATGACAAGTTTGAGGAACTAGGTTTCAATGTTCGAGTACCAAGCTTCAGAACACCAGCCGTCGTTTGTTTTGTGAGAACTAAAAAGATGTGTATCAAACTAATATTTTTTTATATAATCTTACATATCATTGTTTATCAATCATTGTAACTAGTAAAAACCCTGTACTACATTGTGGGTTTTAAACAGTTTAGTGGGTCGGGAAATTGTAAATGCAAGTTTTATGATTGATGATTTTTTTTTTTTTTTTTTTTTTTTTTTTTTTTGTTGCTAATTATTGGTTGTTTTGTAAAATGTTGGGGGCAAAATAGCAAAATGGAAAATTTATTATTTTAGGAACTAAAACTGTCAAAACAGACAAATAAATGTGAGCAAAAGTGGATGACTAAGCAAATTGAGGTAAAAAAACATAAAAGATGGATGAGTAAGCTATGTAGTCGGAAGTTGACAAATGTTAGGGCAAAAAGGCAAAAAAAGGACAATTTATTATTTTAAGGACTAAAAATGTCAAAACAGACAAATAAATGTGGCAAAAGTTTGAAATATAAAAACTTTACTATTCCTAAGGCTATTGGGAATTTTATATATATATATATATATATATATATATATATATATATATATATATATATAATAATAATAATAATAATAATAATAATAATAATAATAATAATAATGAGGAGGATATGGAGGGCGGGGTTTTGTGGAAACTAGAAAAACACCGTTGAAATAACATCAAATTTACAAAAGAAAATAACAGTCATCGATGTTGGATATGTAGACGCTAGCAATCTGTTCCACAAGATTTGATCGAAAGTATTGGTGAATTTCTTAGTCTCGCAATTCTTGGAGAAATCATCATTTACTAATTGATCGACTGGAGGATCGATTGCGTAATCATAATATATCACTACATCTTCGTCTTTTATAATCTTATTGTGCATTGTAATTCAAACATTCATTATTTTCCTAATTTTTCTTTGTTATGGTGTTAAACCCAACAAATAACGGGGTACAAAAGTATTCTATAATTCACTACTCAATTGCACTAAAACGAAGTAAAGGGCAAGTAGAGTCGAATCATAAAGACACAGAACAATAGTCTATACCTATTTGTTTAAGGTATTTTCGTGATAATTGGGGACAATCTAGTTTGAAAGCATGCAAAAGATTAAATAAATTTTGTAAACATTAGGTTGAAACGGTTTCAGTTTCAGTTCTCAATGTTGTCATTTAATTTGATTATGCCTTGTTGTAATTCATAATTACTATTCTATGTTGGTACTGAAAGATGAACACACTTTAACGTCTCTCGCTTGTTAAGTTATCTAATCAAAATACGCTCTTGTACAATACTTAAATACACTCTTAGATTGTATTGGAAAACCGCATTAAGTATTGTACAAGCTTCCAAACAATGTTCATTTCTTCTCATACGCTCGGAAGTGTAACATATGATTTGTATTCTACAATAAGAAAAAATATTTCTTGTTACTTCACATTAAATTTATAGAACAATTAGGTGCCCTAAAAATTAATTAAACACATGAACTCAATTCATATAAGTGGCCAATCAAACACAAATCAAGTTCAAGGATTATGGCTAAGACAATGGCACAGTCACTAGAATATAATCATAAATCAAGCATCAAGTCATATGTTTCAAATCAAACGATCAATATGTTTTAAATAGAAACCGCAAAATTAAGATTTTTAGCCAGACATGGCTAAAAACAAATTAAACAAAGTAATGTAATTGAAAGTGTTTAATGCTTACAAACTGCAAATTAAAGTGTCTACAATGATTAGAAGTCTTCAAAATTCTCCAAAAGCCGCCCAAAATTGTCAACTAAAGTTCCAAAAACCGTCCCCCGAAAATTGAGCATATTCCCTCTGTTTTAACTCATCTAGTAACCGCCCAGAAGGATCGCAAAGGAAACTCATGACCGTGAGTTTTGGACTCACGACCGTAAGATTTGGCATGCGACTGCGCTTTTTGCTAAAACTCCAAATGGTCTTTAATCTTCACTTTGCCTTCGGTTTATCTTCATCCCAAAGCCCGTTGCTCAAAAATATGAAAAAATGGACAAGCACGATCCATGGTGGTGCAACATGGACTGCGATTTAAGCGTAGTCATTAGCTATGATGAAGTGCAACGGCTTTGGGTTGTCTTTAAGCTTCCTTCCACATCTCGTATGTTTTATTTTCTCTCCTTTATGTTTCAAAGCTCCATTTTCTGCATACCTACAACGCCTACAAAATTACTCAAAAATGATGAAGTACCAGACATTTTGAACAAAACATACAAGGTCCCCAATTATTAATTAAATGCAAGAATTAAGGACTAAAATGCAATGAGAAGACAAAATTTAACGTTCAAAATAGGTGTATAAAATACACCTATCTTTCGTGCTTGCATTGCTCATGCACAGAGTCAAGTATAACAAAACAAGATTTTAGTACACTAAAAGCTAGTTCAACATCCTTTATTTTTGCTTCTTATGTCGCCTTGAATCTTCTCCGTTTTTCATTGGTTGGATATGTAAATGTTTTCTCAAAAGTAGCTCAACCGAGGTATATCTCATCGACAAGATAATAGTATAATACTAATGTTCGTATTCTACTTCATTTACCTGAAATGGACACTTGGGTGCCTTTCCATGCATTTGTTCGTCAAATAATGGAGATTGATGGAGGATGTTGAGATCATTGTTGGAAACAATGACACCAAAGAATGCATGCCGAATCCATAAATCTTGTAAGACCACAACTTCAAGCGTAATCATCGAGTGAGCATTATCACCTCTCATGTATTGACCTCGCTAGAAATTTTTTCTTTGAGAAATTTCAGTGTAAAGTTGTAAACAACACAAATGTCATATGCACATACCTTTTAGATAAATCACACAAAGAAAATCGATTTTTTTGCACATTTTCATAATATACACCTAAACAAACAGAAAGAAACAGAATAACAGAAACCAAGATGAATAATTGGGATCGTTTAGTCTCTAAACTCAAACGGCGGAGCCACATCAGCTCTAATTCTGATTAGCAGCCACATCGCCTTTCATATAGCTCCTCACGACCTGCCTTTTCACGAAGCGAAACAACACCTCTGATGAGTGATGTACAGACTAACTCTCCGCCACCTCAAGACAACCGCCTATCTTCTACACCAACGTCGAACCGTCGCCAATCTCGCTATGCAAGGTATGTAACCTCACTACCTTCCGTCACCACTATCTCGCCTATCGAAACATCATCAATTTCATTGCTGGCGTGTCATCCAGGAATGCTGACCAGGAAATCTCAAAATATCTTGTCTCCGTCAGCTATTCTGGTGACTGTCTCTCCTATACTGCTTGCACAAAGTAACTTCTCGCCGCCTTAGTCCAGTCGTCAAACACCTTCATGCATACTAGTTAATTTGGGCAGCCTATGACACTACCACTTTCGACACAATGTCTGTTTTCCAAGAAATCCTAGGTGGTTGTTCGGAAGGATTCTTTAATATCAAATCCACATCATCCAGATGATCCAAAAGGTTCCCTACCATGTCATTCGACCCTAGATATCCTCTCGTCCTCCAAATTATCTATGCAAATTCCCAAGATCCTCCGAAAAATGTGTGACATCACCAATTTTACTGCCCGAAAAGACCTTTTCTTTATGCTTATTTAAAACATAGTATTCTTTTATTTGTGCGAAATTTGTCCCATAACAATTTTAATGTGAGATAAAAGCATTTCCGAAGAAATAATTAAAAACTTGGGATGTCATCATCGATACAAAAATATAAGCATAAACTAGTTATTACAGGCCTTACATCAACTTATTATACTAATGGCCTACAAACTCCTTAAATCTCTTAGTAGATTTAAGCTCATCATCCATGTGCTTTCGTACCGTTACATGTGATACAAAGAAATGTAACATCCTGTTTCAGATTGTTTGCGATTCAAGACTCGTGGGCCGTAATTTGAATATGAGAAGGTTTCGAGATTTTGAAAAAGATATGTTTAGGTCTTCTTGGATATGGATAGGGTGGATTGTGTGAGAAAGGGGTTTGGTTTGTGCTTTAGGTCCCAAGGGTATCGGCAAGTTTTGGTTTGGACTTTTCATGAATTTTGGATCTGAGTTCGAGTGGGCTCTAGGAGAAATAAAGTTGATTCAAGTGTAGAACTTTTCGCTACCTTTTCATGGATATAAAGTTCGTCGAAAACGGACATCGGGTGAGGAAGATATGACACTTGGAAGTTTTTGGCATAAACGGTCCCTTAAGGAGAAAAGTTGGCATGGAAGGCCATGCATGTGAAATGGAAGCGCGTGGGTACGCCCATCGTAAGGCTGGGTTACGCCCAACGTATAAGGGAAATGGTCGCGGGTGCTCCTTGGCGTACGCCCAACGTACAGGAGGTACGCTCAGCGTACGTCCAGAGTCCAGGAACCCTAAATTTAGGGTGTGCCGCTATATAAAGAACATATTGGTTCTAACCCTAGCCTCCTTATCTGTTCCCTTACCCTCAGAAAACCCTAGAACGCCCCATCCCTTCATTCTTGAGTGATTTTCTCCATATG